AGAGGAAGAGACTAAATTGAGAGTGGATTATTTCAGTCCAGGAACCCTTCCCTTAGGGGAAGGCAGAGGGTCTTATCAGACAGATTACCTCACTAACGGAGGTCAGGAAATTCCAGGCTGATTGGTTTAAAATTCCACTCTTGGGAGTGGCAGAAACCACAATTACTTAAGTATTAAGTTTAGGTTTGGTATCCTAGGCTTTTAGCAGAAGTGACACCATATTGGGCTTGTGGCTTTTCTTTTTAACATCATCTAAAAAATGAGAATAAAGGACCTATTCCTAAATTAGGGGAATTAAATAAGATCAGGAACACAAGGTGCTTAGAACAGTGCAAGATACATGTTAAGTGTTTAATAATGTGTGATTGACTGTGATAATTTCTAGCACCTAGTATGGCCAAGCACAGAGTTTGATAAGTGACTAGTTTGTTAAATGGGGGTAAAAAAGAAATTTCAGATCAATCTGGATAGGTTGATATATTTTTGTATAAATGAAGCCAATATGGTTATACAGACTCATACACATTTAAAACATTGATTAGGCCTAGAAAAAGATGTAAGAGGATATAGAGGATGTCCCCCAAAATGTATATACACTTTACAGCTGATAGCTCAATTGACATTTCTCTTCAGATTTAATGCATTGGAATTAATAATTATTCAGTGTGTATACATTTTTTGGGGGGGATACCATGTATACTAACTTGTTGACTGTGGTCAAATTTGTACAATAAAATTTTTAAAAATATATATTTTTTATTTCAGGGAGGAAGGGAGAGGGAGAGAGAGATAGAAACATCAATGATGAGAGAGAATCATTGATCAGTTGCCTCTGTGTGCCTCCTTTTGGGGACTGAGCCCACAACCCAGGCATGTGCCCTGACGGGAATCAAACTGTGACTTCCTGGTTCTTAGGTCGAGGCTCAATTACTGAGCCAGGCCAGCCAAGCTGTGTAATAGGATTTGAGGAAACAGATTTTTGTTTTGTGTTTTACTTTATATATTCCTTATTTAAAAACCAAAATTTTAGAAAAATAAAGCTACTGACATATTGTGAATATAGCAGTAGATGACAAAGTTCAGTTTATTACAATTTTTCCCTTCTAAAAATTACTGTCCTATCTAAAATATTTTCATTCAATTTATAGTCTCTTTCTTTTAGTTCTGAATCTGCCATAATTTGCTATTAATCTTGGGAAAAATCAGTTCCTTGATCTGCATTACAGCTTCCTCACTCATAAAATGAATTGCACAATCTAGACAGTGCTTCTTAACTAGTGGACTATGGCATCCTGGTGTCCTGAATGTGGGTGAGAAACCGACCCCTTCTGCAACGAGGCAGTTGAGAGAGATCAGGGGAGGTCAGAACCCCTGGGCCAGTACCTTTGTTCATGAGCAGCCTTGTTGAGGGATCCTCAGGGCAGCATGTGCTGAGTAGTCTGGGGTGTATGCCAAGCACTGTAAACAACAACCAACACTTAACATTCTTCTGTCTGTGCATGGCCAAGGATACCTGCCACATGGACAGCTATCTGCAAAGCCCAACATGGACCCGACATCGTGGAACCAATGCACAAGTTTCCATTCTTGGTGCCCCAGGGGGACAGCACTCAGCTCCAGGGGCCTGACAGAGAAGCCTTGACTGAGTGGGGTTCCCGGTGGGCTCAGCTGCCAGCATTGCCCTTAATATTTGTCCTAATATATAGTGGCTATTTCTCTCTTTCTCTCTCTCTTTTTAGAGAGAAAGGGAGAAAGAAACATTGATTTGTTAATCTTCTTATTTATGCATTCACTGGATGGTTCCTATATGTGCCCCAACCAGCAATCCCAGTGCATCAGGACAACATGCTCCTGATATATCCAGCCAGAGATAGTGGCTATTTCTATCTCTCTGTGACGATGAACTCTTTTTTTTTTTTTATTTTTTTTTTTTTAATATTTTTTATTGATTTTTTTTACAGAGAGGAAGGGAGAGGGACAGAGAGTTAGAAACATTGATGAGAGAGAAACATTGATTAGCTGCCTCTTGCACACACACACACACACCCGCCTCCACTGGGGACGTGCCCACAACCAAGGTACATGCCCTTGACTGGAATCAAACCTGGGACCCTTCAGTCCGCAGACCAATGCTCTATCCACTGAGCCAAATTGGTTAGGGCACGTTGATCTCTTTTAATGGCCCTCAGACTAGTTATTGACAACATATGCTAGAATTTCATTGTGGAAATCTTGATATAAAAATGTACTATTAGTTTGAAATTCATCTGCATGTTCATATAAAATTTCAACATTACATTTGTCAATAAAAGGAGTTGTTATTCTTTAAATATAATTACAATTGTAAATTTTGAATGATGGTATAACATGGTTTTAATATTTTATCACCCACTTATGCGATCAGAGTCCCTTACTGATAATTACTATTCATAATATGAGAAGTTTATCATTAAAAAGTCGAGATCAGAAACTGCATAAAGCCATTTCAACCATAAAACCTAATATGAAAACATATTCATAAGAACAAGTTCAAAATGATCATGAAAAAAATGTGGAAATTTTTTATTTGAATGTTTTATTCAAAATTTTAATATATTCTCTAATACATTGTATTTTATTTTAGCATAATTATATAATTTAAAGAAAATGTTATGAATTTTTTAACCAGCCATCATTTAGATGTCTCCAATCTCTGTTTATGCAACCTGTGTGCTGTACACAAAATAATGTTTTCTGCATATGTTGTGATATGAAAGAAGTTGAAATTTATAAAATCTGTCTTCTACTCTATCCAACCTTAGGACTAGCATTCATGTTCCTGGATGGAAGTACTTAGTATCCCATCTCCCACCATTTTTCAAATTAATATAAGAATTTAATGCAATTCAAAGAAGAAAGAATAACACAAGTTATTGATTTAAAATAATTGGTTAGAAAACACCTAGACAACATGTCGTAAGTGAAGTCAAGTGATCAGTTTTCACGATCACCCTTGCAGTTTTTCACTAGGTACTTTGGTGTGAATGCCATCTTCCTAAGGTCTTTAATGTTTCGTTTTTCTACATACTCAGAATTGAATCAGAAATCAAGTTATCGCCCTAGCCAGTTTGGCTCAGTGGATAGTGTGTCAGCCTGTGGACTGAAAAGTCTCTGAATTGATTCCAGGATGAGCATATGCCCATCCCAATAGTGGGGCATGCAGGAGGCAGTTGATCGTTTCTCTCTCATTATTTAGCATAATGATGTTTCTATCTCTCTCTCCCTCTCCTTTCCTCTCTGAAATAAACAAAAATATATTTTATTTTATTATTTTTTTTGTTTTGTTTTTAAATCAATCTTTATTGTTCATATTATTACAAAGGTTCCTCATTTCTTCCCCCCTCCACCAGGTTCCCACCCCATCCTCTGCCCCCCAAAAATATATTTTAAAAAAGAAAAAGAAAAAACGAAATCAAGATATCCATGACTATTTATAGTAAATTCAAGAAGCCTTCATATGTTAAGGAGACCCTAAGGGTACACATTTTACGGTTGCTGGGTATCAGAGTGCCTGGAAAGCAGAGTGCCTAACAGTTTGCTTGTTGATTCTGGAATCAGAGCAACAGGAGGCGGCTAGTTTGGAGGGTTATTTCATCCAAGTTACATTAAGGACTGGTGGCTGGTTTCTGCCCTGAAACAAAGTACCTTTTGTTCCTGCCTGCCCAATAAAACACCTGTAATGCTTGGGCAATGCTAAACAAACATTAACAATTCTTATTTTTTGTGCTCCTTTTTTCCCAAGTCCCAAGCAAGCGATTCCCTCTATTTGTCAACACAAACTGCGTTTTAAACAATTTACAATGTAAGTGATTAAATTCCTAATCTTTCTTATGGTTAGGGATACTTGTCAATTACACACTTTCATCAGCATCTTTGGGCCTATACATTAACTGAGGTTTCTTGAGTGTTGGTTATTACCAAATCTTATCCCTTCATTTAAAAAATACTAACACTGGGAGCTCATTTACGTCAAATGATTTAAAATCTCTTAGCTGGGCCGAAAAAAGAAGTGCATCTCCCGTTTCTGGCTCTTTCATCGATCCTGTTCATTATGCTTCACAACAACACAATTAGAAGCATTAAGGTGTAAGTTACTGGCCATCAGGCAGCATGCCCTGCAGCCCCACGTTTAAGGTCTTGAAAATCATTCAATTCCTTCAATTCCATCCCCAGGAAGAGTTGCTTCAGCTCTTCAGCTTTCCTAGTCACTAGGAAAATGTTGGGAAATACTGCCGACAGATTTGAGATCCATGGGAACCTAAAGGAACTGACAGTCCCGCCGCAGGTCCTTAAGGGGAAAAGCTCAGTGTGTGAGCCGCGTTTGGAGGCCTCTCCAAAGGCTCGGGATTCACCCACGTCGGCGTCACAGGGGTTTTTCGTGCAGGCACTCGCGGTGGGCGCCGCAGGCTCAGAAACGGGCCGCTTGTATTTGGGGAAAATGCGAGAAGCCGAGGGGCCGAGAGGGCCCTTCTTGGGACCTTAAAGAACAGGGGGGAACAGCGTGGGTTCATGCAGGCTCGGGCAATGGCATGAATTCGGACACTGAGACCCATAGGCCTCCATGGGCGGGAGAAGAAAGAAGCGCGAGAAGAAAGGAAAAGGCCCCTTTCTCCCGTGACGCGCGGTCACGAGAAGTTCTCCCGACGTGTGCGCACGCCATTGGCCGAGCCCGGGCAGGCGTCCCCCGCAGCGGCCCCGGCGCGAACGGCGGCAAGGGCGGCGCCGCGCTGGAAGTTGAGGGGGCGCGCGCGCTCCCGCGGTTGGCCACGCCCCCGCTTCGAGCCCGCCAATCCGCTCGTCCGGTGCCTCTTTGCGCCCGGTTAGCCACGCCCCTGGCGCAGCGCGCCCCTCCTCCACCGGGTCGGCGGCGCGCGGAAGATGCGTCACGTGACGACTGGCCCCGCCTCTTCCTCTCGGTCCCATATTGAACTCGAGTTGGAAGAGGCGAGTCCGGTCTCAAAATGGAGGTAAAACCGCCGCCCGGTCGCCCCCAGCCCGACTCCGGCCGTCGCCGCCGCCGCCGGGGGGAGGAGGTATTAGGGGGAGAGCGGGGGGTTGATGGGTAGTGGCCGGCGTGGGGGGCCTGGCTCGGTGGGAGCGGGGAGGCCGGGTGGACGGGTTGGCGGTCCCGCGCTCTGCGTGGAGAAGGGCGGTGGGAGGGGGAAGGGAGCGGGCCTCGGAGGCCTCCTCGGGGCCTCTCGCCCGCCTCGCTTTCTTCTTCGGCTGCACAGATGGCCCCTTTTGGAGGCGCGGCGTGGCCGGGGAGACCTCCGGGTGCGGGCCGGCCCGCTAGTCGCGCGGCCTCGGGTTTGAGGCCGAGAGCGGCATGGCGGGCCTGGGCGGGAGCGGTTGGGAGGAGGCGGTGGGGGAGGGGAGGGGACGGCCAGGCACATCCGGGAGAGCGAGCGAGCTGGCGGGCGGCGGCCACATTGACATTGATCCGCCGCCGCCGCCGCCGCCGCGTTACGAAATGGCGCATTGGCCCGCAATGGCCGCCGTCTGAGGCCGCCGCCGGGAAAGAGCGCGAGATTGGAAGGGAGAGAGGAGGCGGCCCGGCAGGAAATGCCGCAGACGGCCTTGAGGCTTGGGCGCAGTGCTTTTCCCGAACTTAGGGTGGCAGGATTTTAGGCCTTCCAGACGAAAGGAAATAAATTAAAGTCTATTTTCCTCGCAGCATCCAGTTGAAAATAAATTTTTAAAATGTTTGCTGCGATGAAATACTTCCTGACCTGTTCTTGCTAAAGTACTTAAAATTATACATATCTTGGCGCTCTTATACAGCAGGAACGTAAAGTTTTAAAAATCTTTTTCCTCCCTCATGGCTCTGGTTGTAGTTTTGGGATTTTTTTATTTTAGCGGACTGCAATCACAGTTGCATTTTTCATGTGCCTGAGATAATTTAATGAGAGGCATAGTTGTATGATTTTTAAAAAAATATATTTTATTGATTTTTGTACAGAGAGGAAGGGAGAGAGAGAGAGAGTTAGAAACATCGATGAGAGAGTCATCGATCAGCTGCCTCTTGCACACCCCCTACTGGGGATATGCCCGCAACCAAGGTACATGCCCTTGACCGGAATCGAACCCGGGACCTTTCAGTCCCCAAGCCGACGCTCTATCCATTGAGCCAAACCGGTCTCGGCTGTATGATTTTTTTAAAGTCATTTTGTTGTTGCTTATTAAATGCACTTACCAGGACTTGAAAAGATAAAGAATAAGTGAATTAATGCTGTAGACTATTAATCGTTTAACATTTTTTTCCTAGCATATGACAGTATCTTCCTTATACCTTAACAACTGTACCATTAGAAGACCCTGAAGACATTAGAATGTAAATGTGAGCCCTTTTATGTAAGGACTTGGGATGAAAGATATCTTAAATGCATGGATTAAATGGCAATTCATGTAATTGATTAAATTTTAAATTAGTTCAGCTCATATCCTTAAGGAAAATCTCGTGGTTTTTTTTCAAGCAATAAATTTTATACTTAAATCCAGTTTGCCCTTTTCGTGACCTTACAAAGATACATGGTGGATTTATATATATGTGTGTATATGTATGTATATATAGATATAGTTATAGATTTATATAGATTTCAGAGAGGAAGAAAGAGAAACATCAATGATGAGAGGGAATCATTTGATTGGCTGCATCCTGCACATTGAACGCAGCCCACAACCCAGGCATTGTGCCCTTGATCCCTTTGGTCTGCTGGCCGATGCTCTATCCACTGAGCCAAACCAGCCAGGGCAATGGTGGATTTTTTTAGAGTTTTGTGGGGAGCGACATGAATTCGCCTTTTAAAAAATAATTTATCTGAGCCAAATTGACAACAGTGTCAGGAAGTAAGGTCTTAAATGTTTAAGATAATGGTAGTTTTTCTATTTTTTTTTATACAGTTGGAATTAAAGAGGGAATGTAAAAGATTAAAATACCACTCAAAACTTTTTAAATTGTACCTCAGAGCTTTGGTTTAAAATTAATGCTTGACATGAGAAGAAATGGCATGGATGAAAAACGGCTTCTACAATATTTAGTTTTCTTGGTAGCAACATCAGAAATAATCTATTCCAAAGCCCCTTTGTAGCTTAAAATTAAGGGATTTTTGATTTTGCAATTCTCTTGGACTAAAATGTAGTTGAAGTGATGTTGGCATTTAAAAGGATGGTTATATGTTTTCTTGGTATTTGGGTTCCTTTATTAAGTTGATTTGTATGATCCTATTCCAGTTTTTAACTGGACAAAGTGTTAGTACAGAAGTTGGGTTTATTTGTAGCAAAGTAAAAGGCTTGTGCATCTTAGCAATTCACTAAAAGATATAAATAAAATGTGTTGGTTTTTTTTCTCAGGGCCATGATCCTAAGGAACCAGAGCAGTTGAGAAAACTGTTTATTGGTGGTCTGAGCTTTGAAACTACAGATGACAGTTTAAGAGAACATTTTGAGAAATGGGGCACACTCACAGATTGTGTGGTAAGTTACTAAGGGACAAAAAAGGGGTTTTTAGAAAGAGGTAGAAAGGCTTGTGGAGAAGTGTTTCAAAGGTTTAAAACTCTCTATTTTGTAGGTGATGAGAGACCCCCAAACAAAACGCTCCCGGGGCTTTGGTTTTGTGACTTACTCTTGTGTTGAAGAGGTGGATGCAGCAATGTGTGCTCGACCACACAAGGTTGATGGACGTGTAGTGGAACCAAAGAGAGCTGTTTCTAGAGAGGTATTTTAATACCATGTTGTATAATGTGAGATTGTTGTAAAACGTTATGTTGGTTTTTTTAAACTTGCATATTTCTTGTAGGATTCTGTAAAACCTGGTGCCCATCTAACAGTGAAGAAAATTTTTGTTGGTGGTATTAAAGAAGATACAGAAGAATATAATTTGAGAGACTACTTTGAAAAGTATGGCAAGATTGAAACCATAGAAGTTATGGAGGACAGGCAGAGTGGGAAAAAAAGAGGATTTGCTTTTGTAACTTTTGATGATCATGATACAGTTGATAAAATTGTTGGTAAGTAACAAGTCGACTACACTAAATTTGCTAAATTACTTATACTGTATTGTGCATAAAGTATATTGTTCAGTTTTCATAAAGTGACTACATCCGAATCAAGAAACAAATGGTAACATCCTAGATATTTAATGTTATGTGTAGTGCTAAAGGATAGCATTTATATGTGCTTTTTCAAACACCAAGTAACTTTTATTTGTTTGATTTAAAAAAAAATTTAGTTCAGAAATACCACACTATTAATGGGCATAATTGTGAAGTGAAAAAGGCCCTTTCCAAACAAGAAATGCAGTCTGCTGGATCACAAAGAGGTGAGTAATACCATACATACTTAAACAGTAAATGTGAGCTGTGTTTGTAAGATTCTTAAAGATCTTCCTTGCCTGTGTTAAAGGCCGTGGAGGTGGATCTGGCAATTTCATGGGTCGGGGAGGAAACTTTGGAGGTGGTGGAGGTAACTTTGGCCGTGGAGGAAACTTTGGTGGAAGAGGTAGGATTATTATCTTATTTCTAAGTATGTGTCTTCCTAAAATTTATTGGTAGGCTGAATGTTACACTTTTTAAATTAATGCCTTGCTTTTCCGCAGGAGGCTATGGTGGTGGAGGTGGCAGCAGAGGTAGTTATGGAGGAGGTGATGGTGGATATAATGGATTTGGAGGTGATGGTAAGTTTTTTAAAAAATTCATATTTTGTTTCCTGGCTTTATAGACAAGTATTTTTATTATTATTATTTTTTTAATTTCAATCAAAATTGAATGGTTTGACAGTTAAAAGTATGGTTCTAAGCTAATATCATAAAAGACTAAACTTATTTCCTCCTAAGAATTTAACAGTAGCTAGTTATTTTGGCCAATTACATTTATTGTACTAGTTAATGAAGCTGGCATAATATCTCAGAAGACTTTACTATTTCCTTCAGTGAAATTTAAAGAATTAAAACTAAAATTTTAATATTAAAATATATTTAAGCATTTATCTTAAATTCTTACTAGCCCAGATTTCTTGGTTCTAGTAACCAAGCTTTAATGCTAAATCAATTCATTGACTTATTTTCTAGTGGTTTAAATGCAATACAAACTAGAATTCAGTTACATATTTGCTTTTGTGACCCACTTTTTTTTAGGTGGCAACTATGGCGGTGGTCCTGGTTATAGTAGTAGAGGAGGCTATGGTGGTGGTGGTGGACCAGGATATGGAAACCAGGGTGGTGGATATGGTGGCGGTGGTGGAGGATACGATGGTTACAATGAAGGGGGAAATTTTGGTGGTAAGTTTTGATTTAAGTGTTCATTATTGTTTATAGTTCCATTACAGATGTTTAAAAGTGTTAAAACGTAACATTTGGTCAAATTTCATAATTTGTAAAATCAAATTACTTAATGGGTAATTGAACTAAAATTTTTTTATTGTGCTTACTAGTAAATTGGTAAATGCAGTCAACTCTATACTTGAAATGATTGTTTACCAGTTGTTTATCCAGTTTAAAATTGCTTAGTTTACTAAAGCTAAGCAATTTTAAACTGGACAAATGGGAATTGTAAATTGTTAAAATGAATAATAGGGTGTCATCTGGGGTCTAAATGAGAAAATCACTTGTAATCTCAGTGTGTCAAAGATGCATTGCAGACTATAAGCAAGATTGCATTATTACTTCATGACACTAAACTTTGATACAAAATGGCACTGCATTTTGGTCTACTAATGTATCAACAATAAAAGATTTTTATTAAATTAATTTAGAATAACTTCTATTGTTTTAAAAGTTGTAGTACATCAGAATTAGAGTGAATCAAACGGACAATTTGGTTGTGTTAGTGGTATGTAGGAGAGAATGTGCTGGAGTATAGCATTAAATATAAAAAAATATGACAGCTATTTAGATACATGCCCTTAGAACCATTTTTCACTCTTCATTCCTTATTCCATGTCTGAGCTGTGCTAGTGCGCCTCATTTTGTGGTGTAGAGAATTTGGTAGCTCTAAAATCTCTTTTCAAGGTGTTGCAAGTTAGTGTTGTAGAATATGCTATCATGATTGTTAAGATAATGTACATATTTTAGAAGAGGGAAATAATTGTGCAAATTAACCACAAATAAATAACCTTTGTAATTTCAGGTAACTATGGTGGAGGTGGAAACTATAATGATTTTGGAAATTACAGTGGACAACAGCAATCAAATTATGGACCCATGAAGGGGGGTAGTTTTGGTGGAAGAAGCTCGGGCAGCCCCTATGGTGGTAAATAATATTTCTCATTAAAATTTTTTATAGCCTTCTTAATTTACAAACTCACGTATCATATTTCTTTTAAAACTGTTAACCTGTATTATTTTCAGGTGGTTATGGATCTGGTGGTGGAAGTGGTGGATATGGTAGCAGAAGGTTCTAAAAACTCAGCAGAAAAGGGTAGGTATAATTTGAATTTTTAATATGATGATAAAGCATATGTGGAACTGTTCACTGAGTGTAATAATTTTTTTATCCTGTATTATTCAACAGGCTACAGTTCTTAGCAGGAGAGAGAGCGAGGAGTTGTCAGGAAAGCTGCAGGTTACTTTGAGACAGTCGTCCCAAATGCATTAGAGGAACTGTAAAAATCTGCCACAGGAGGAACGATGATCCATAGTCAGAAAAGTTACTGCAGCTTAAACAGGAAACCCTTCTTGTTCAGGACTGTCATAGCCACAGTTTGCAAAAAGTGCAGCTATTGATTAATGCAATGTAGTGTCAATTAGATGTACATTCCTGAGGTCTTTTATCTGTTGTAGCTTTGTCTTTTTCTTTTTCTTTTCATTACATCAGGTATATTGCCCTGTAAATTGTGGTAGTGGTACCAGGAATAAAAAATTAAGGAATTTTTAACTTTTCAATATTTGTGTAGTTCAGTTTTTCTACATTTTAGTACAGAAACTTTAACAAAATGCAGTTTTGAAGGTGTTTCCTTGTGAGTTAACAAGTAAAGAAGATCATTGTTAATCACTATTTTGTATGAATTTTGCTAAAGTTAACTGTAAAGAAACACCTACTGACTTGCAATTTAAGGGGAATCTATTCTCCCCATTTCCAAACATGAAATGAATGGGCTCTGATATGTGGAGAGAATAGATATTTGTATGTTTGCAATGTGTGTTTTAGATAAATAGAATTGGGTATTTAAATTAGCATATTTGTGACTCTGATGACATTAAGATTTACCTTCAAATGAAAACTCTCAAAATTCCTATTTGGTTTTTGTGCATTTTCTTTCCAAATGTAATCATGATTTTAGTGTGTTGGCTTTGCTGAGAGTCTGAGCTGTGTTTAGAACATCTCCATTCTGCATTCACCTTGGTCACATGTGAACTACTGCCATAGTTTTATTTGGGTGTAAAGAATGTCTGCTGCCACCCTCTGTTTAAATTCTGGAAAGGGGTAGTGGATGTTTTTCCTTCCTCTTCCATTAAAAAACTGTTTTTTAAGACTTCAAAATATAGGACCACTAAGCCTGCTGTATTTGAGCAAATTGGTGGCTATCTTTTTTTCCTTTTTAAAGCACAAGAGGCCCATAAATATTTCGTTATTTTCCTTGGTTTAATTTTTTTTTATACAAGCTCTCAAAGCAAGAGAATAAAAACCATGCATTGTTGAACCCTTCACTGGCTGGCATGCTTTCCTGTTTGTACCCTCTACATTTTACTGGATGAAACCAAGGAGAGTCTAGATATAATTGGCCCAAATGACATAATGCAGCAGAAGTGTACCACAGTTGCTTAGTACAAGCTTCCCACTTCCCATCCCACTTCCCAAAGATCTGAATTCAAATTTGGATTGTCTGAGTTCTTATTCAAAATCCCAAAAAAATACTGTCATTTTATGTGTATGCTTAAACCTAAATCATGTTGGAATGAGCTTATTTGTTTGGAGGACCCGGGGTGAGAAGATTTTTAGATGATAAGGTCATATACATATATATATAAAAAAAAAACACAATGTCTACTGTTTTGCGCCAGCGTAGTGCTTACAATTTCATTCAAGCCCTAAGTATGTGCCCTGCTGTTGTTATTTCTTTGGCAGTTGAACATTGAATTCAAGGTTCTTATTTTTGTTTTAAGAAATACTAAGCAAAACAAGCAATAAAAAGGGGAGTGGGGCGTGCTAGTGTTTGCATATGCTCTCTTGTTGCTCTAATTCTGTGCCTCTGTGCATTAATATTTGGATGCATGCAATGCCAGCATGGAAATCGGTCTTCACAGATACTGCAGTTTTCCAGAAAACACTCACAAACCAATAAATGTAACAGACAACATGACATTTGTTAATGGACGTATGTGAATAAGCAGTGTAGAAAATAGGCAAATATTAGTAAATGGTTAAGTCTTCACAACTTCAAGTGTGGTTATATAAATGGACACTGTCAATGTTTATGACTTAAACCTGGGTACCTGGTCAAAATAATGCTTGGGAAACATTAAAATTGAGCTAAATTGTCTAAAGTTCTTTTATTCATATAATAAAGGTTGAAGGAATGGGGGCGATTAACATTTCCTGTTTCTATTTTGTGAAATTGTTTGACACAACCTTGACAGTATCCTTTAATGGCATATGAAGTTAATTGTACTATTAACAAACTTTCTGTGTTCTGGAACTAGTTTAATAGTGAAAATATATTTTCAGTAAGTGATGTTTGCAACCTATAAGCAGGTGAAATCTGTGTATGTGACCTGTTTATAAGTTGTATTTAGCTTAGTTCTTGTGAACAGTGTGGAAAAGTAAGCCATGAGGAGAGCGATTTAACCAGCTTTAAAGGACCTAAAATGTGCTTTTTGAGCACAGTGTGGATCAAAGGAGACTCACTAAGACAGGACTTCAGCAGCCTTTTGAGTATGGACAAGTCAGCATAAATAAAGAATGACAAGGCAGCAGCAAGAGCTTCAACTGAGAAGTGAAGGCATAAAATACTATGGTGATAGTGAGCAACTTTTCAAAAGCTAGTTAAATCTGCTTATTACAACTGAAATATCGAAGAAAGTCTAGCAGGAAGGAGCTCTTCGCCTTTTGGAACATCATTGAGAGATAGTTGCCACAGTCACTAGGTCTAGCATTTAGACCTGCAAGAAAGGGCAATAAGCATTAGGTAAGGCTTGAATTTGAATTTTTTCACTTATTAAAAGAGTACTTTTTTGTAAAGCAAGGTAAGAGTAATCTTTTTGATTTGCAGGTTGAATGAGAATCCTTCTTGCCTAAATGAGGAATGTCTTTCCTACCATCTTAAATACGAAGGTTTCTGGCTGGGTAAGGTTTGTAGCTCACAGTAAAACCTGATGACACCATTTGTTTCCCTACAAATTCATATTACACATTTAAAACTACTAGGTACACTAGTAAAATTGTTCAGCTAAAACTTAATTTTGGAGCCACATCCAAACATTTTAAACAGTTTTTAAAACTTTCCTGCAAATAACCATGAGTGTTCATGTTGAGTGGCCTGTGGCCTCATGTACATAATTCATTGTTGGTGTCTTTAAGGTAAAGTCAGTTTTTGATAAAGGGAGGTGACCTCAAGTTATGCAGTTTTGTATTGTAATAAGCATGACTAAGTTATAGTTAAAACAGAAGCATTGAGCCTGCCAGTCCTCGTTCTAGGGAAAACCTTGGGATGAACTTTTTAAATTGCCAGTTGACAGAAATTAAAAATGGTCTTCATTCATGTGGCCTCATATATAAATTACATATAAAATCAGGGAATTTAGATGAATGGCATAAATAATTTGGTTCTTTTTAGGGTTTTTTTTTTTTTTGTTTTTTTTTTTTTATGTGTGTGTGTGTGTGTGTGTGTCATTTAACCTGTTAATCAGAAGCAATGGGCACCTAGTTATTCTAATGTTCCATTTTAAAAAGAAAACTTCCCAAAGAATAATTAAAACTATTAATTTCTGTGCAGATCAGTTGCTGATTTCATAAGGGCTATTGCTAGCCCAAAAGGGCTGGCTAAATATTGAAATTTGACAATTCACTTTAAAAACAACACCTGGGGGATAGATGCTTAAAATGAAACTAGTTTCTAAATTTTAAACAAATTCTTACATAAATAGGAGTAACCTTAGCAGAGTTTTTCTCACAATATGACTGGCACTCTAAAGTCTAAATTTCTACACCACTTTAGAATGAAGTGTTATGCAAGGGAATTATTTTGATGAATTTTATTTTACAGCATGGTTTTAGTGAAGCAAATTTCCTAAGATAAACATTCCTTTTTTTTTTAAAGCTTTCTTTTCAGTCCACCTAATTTTATGAAAAAGTGATTTAATTTAAATGTAGTTACACTGTCATTACTGAAAAATGTGATGCTCTTAAGTTAGCACCAATAAGCAAAGTTCATAAGGGAAATGGTTAAGGCAAACTTGGTCAAAGCAACTCAACATCATATTTTTAAAACACAACCAAAAAAATCCTACCTTTACACACACACACACACACACACACACACACACACACACACGTCCTAATGAATAAAATTTGGTAATAAAGACCATTAAGGAACTAAACAATTGAGATACGCTTGGTTTGAGGAGTTCTAGAAGTCACAATTTGAAACATTTCTCATTAATGACAGTATCTTGGATTTCCAGTAATTGAATCACAGAGTATAGGGAAAAACATGCTAATGTGCAGGGGTAACATATTAGCCTATGTGAGTATTCAAAATTTTATATTTCAATTGTCTTGATTTTTAAGACTTAAAGAGGTGGTTTGCAATGGATTCAAATGTTTCATTTGTAGGATAATGAAATGTTTACAGAAAGCTAACTTTTTCATTAAAATATTTTTAGAAATGTGTGTGTGGTTTTGTCACTTCACAGTGTCCGTGAAACTTAAATGCTATAGGTGAATATGACATACTTAATTAGTAGTGATTTGAAACTTGGGAAAGTGGGTTCTGTTCATTGGAAAACATTGACCTGGGAAATAGGCATGGAAAAATATCTTAAACAGAAAGCTTACTGCCACTTAAGGATTTAAGCCTTGAAAAACAGTATGTACATACTTAGGTGATAAGGGAAGGATCAGTGATTTATTGGGGGAGGGGAGGAATGTAGTTAAGGATAATTGAGCAAGTGAAAAACAGTTTGGGAGGATGAAAAGGGGACTCCCACACAGTATTAGGTTTCCTAAAGTCATTGGATTGACTGGTTGAAATTTTGTGCTATGATGGGGTTGGGCAAAAGCTTTCATGAGATCAAGTAGTTTTTAAACTACAATGTTGCAACTTAAACCAAATAAAGCCACCTGTTAAAGTTTGAACAATTTTTGAGTTAGGATTTTGATGTGACATAAAAATGTAACAAGTTATGTGGATTCTTAGCATTAACTGTTAAAATGGTAGGTGAAATAGTTTGTGAATTGAGTCTT